TTTATTAATGACCGTACCTTGAGTTCCTGTATCTGCTGTGTGGCATCAGCGAGGCACACCTCCAAATTATGTGCTGATAATGAATGTTTTTTTCAAACAATCAATAAAAAAGTAAGACAAAGGATCAGGTTAAAGATGATCACGATTACCTAAAAGCATCCAATCCTACCTGCAAACAAAAAGAACATTCAAGATCCTTTTCTAAAATTGCTTTACAACTGCTAAGTTCCGTCATCATTAGTATATTACGTATCTTTATGTATATTGTATTATATTATATTTAAATATATAATTTATCTTATAATATATAAATTCATATACTTCTGTATATTGATATTTTTATACATATATGGATGTATGTGTGTATATATATATATATATATATATATATATATATATATATATATATATTTGTATTATATATATATATATATTTGTATTATATATATATATATATATATGTATATATATATATATATTTGTATAATATGTATATGTATGTATATTTCTTTGTACCCGCATTCGTAGTTATATCACTGCCTTAAGGTTGACTGGCAGAGAATGCTTTTGGCATGAAGTCCGCCTTTTGTTCCTTTACTTAAATGTGTAAGGTTCCATAAAGTTTAAATAAATAAATAAATAACTTCCATCAACCGCCTGCGAAAATTAGCTTTGTCAATGAATTCCAATTATTTGGTGTGAGTGAATAACATGGGGTGTAAGAGAACATATGGTGCGTTACGCGCTCATAGTGTTGTTAACCAGTACTATATTTGGTTATATAACGATTGCTTTGACGTTTGGACATTAGGTTTACGTCTTATCAGCATTAGTTGAGTAACACACTTTATGCAATTGATTTTTTCATGTGCCATGAATGTATTCTTTTTTTTTTAGAAAGAAACGTGATGAATGAGCACATAGTAATAATAATGTCCTATAGTCCCAATTTCGGTCAAGGCAGTCAATCTCAAAGTAGACTAGTCATTTGGGCAGGACAGAACAAAAGTGCGCGAGAATATGCGCAAGCACTCACTCTCATAGTCCGATGGGACGGCAACCGACACGACCAAAGAGAGCTCAGGCGCAGGATCAACAGATTTACGTGCTTTTTGAGGTAATACTATGATGCCAAGGGGCCTATGCGAAGAGGTTATGATAGAATTTCGTGACAGAAAACTTTAATATTTGATTTTTGGCCCAAACCGAGATTTGAACGCGTAACCACAAGTTCAGCAGTACACACTTACGATCACTAGACCAATGTGCGTATAGAATGATAATAGTTACTTCGGATTACTTTTTTTTATATGATTGGGGCGACAAACGAGCACACAGTCCACCTGATGGTAAGTAGTTGCTGCGGCCCATAGACATCTACATCAATCCTAGATTACGAATCACCCGTGAGGACTAATATGGAATGCATCGTTTTCAGTATAAAGGGTCTCCGCTTCTCTATACTTACCAAACACAGTAGCTTTAGCTGCTATTTTACACTGGTATTCTGTGTAAGCGTGGTCCTACCACGGTCGAGCCGACCCATCGATGCTACAACTATACTTCTAATATAGTTGCAGCATGGCTCTACCGCGTAAATTTTTTTTAATTTATTTCAGACAATTTTAGTTACTACAACAGATTCCAATAATATAGTAACCATACTGTTACCGTTATCGTTACAGCATATCAAAAGTAAAGGTAAAGTAAAGTAAAGTTGCAGCCTATTTACGTCCCACTGCTGGGCACAGACCTCCTCTTATTTCTGAGCTTGTTTTAGGGCAAGGAAATGTCCGCCGCGCTGCCCCAATGCGTGTTGGCGAACTTCACATGTCTTCGAAAAATTTTTTTTTCTTATTTCTCAGACATGCAGGTTTCCTCACGATGTTTTCCTTCACCGCCGAGCACGTGATAAATCAGCACTTAAAATTACAATTAACAATTTCATTGGTGCCGGCAGGGATCGAACCCGGGTTGCTCGAGTACAGTGAAGCTTACAGCGAGCGCTAACCATCTGAGCTACCACGGCCCAGATGGTTAGCCCTCAAAAGTACCGCAGTTTTTATCTTTTAGTTGTTATTAGAAAGACAATACTGCTTAACTCTTGGTTGATTTACAGGACGATATGGGGTAGTGGGTATTCTTACGAATTCTTACACCTTAAAGAAATATGTACCAATAACTTTACAGTCTCCATATTTAAAATTAAACAAATATAAAAAGGTGATGTTATATGGACGGTCTGTAACATATTTTGTAATATTTTTGTAACACTAATTCTAGTAATAGACATAATTTAGTAATACCAGTTACACAACTATATAGTCATTGTTTTATTCATTAAAAGGTATGACACTCACAAACAATATAACTAGGTACAAGGTGTATTTTACCTTATACTTAAGTGTACGAAAAATTTGCTCGGCTTTTGCAGGGTCTTTACAGAACAAAGTATTGTTTTCAAACTAGTGGCAAAAGCATAAATGACTTTCTTGACTTGACTTTCTGTCTTAAATGATTTATGACATAATTCACCCTCAAGATACAAGAGAGGTTTCTAGTATATCTTTTTTTTTTAATTAATTAAGTAAAAACTTCTGTGTTAACTTCTGATTTCCGTTGTTGAATGCCAGGAAAATGAAATCAAAATATATTAAAAGATAGTTTTAATGCTATCATTTCGTTTGCCATGGATGTTTCTTTGATAAGCCTATTCGAGAATGTTATGTGACAATATGGTGGTAAACAATGATAACAACTGGACGGTTTGTAGATATTCGCGCATAAAGCGAAAAGCGGGTAATAATATCGCGTTATGATAAATTACATAAACTCACATATTGCTTGCTTAAAGTTTAATATCACGTACTTCGGAAATGATAATAATGTTTGATTCACGTTCGTGACGGAAGAAAATGAGCTAATTCGCGTTGTTGAAGAGAACTCTAGAAGCCGGCCTGTGAAGGTTAATGGGCAAAGAGTTTGTTGTTATTTTTCAAGAATGAGAATGGATAATGCTTTGATTTTATTTCGTTAGCTGCCTACAGACGAACGAAAAATAATTTTTACTATATATAACCATTAAATCGATAATTAGCATATCATATATTATTATGTATAGCCGTGGTAGCTCAGGTGCTAAGCACTCGCAGTAAATATCGAAGCGCGCAAGCAGCTCGGGTACGATTCCCGTCTATTTCGTTGGTGCCGGTGGATAACCGACGGATAGTTGTTTGAAATTTTTATTTAATAATTTAAAATTTGCATTTGCATAAATTAAATACCCATGTAAAATGCATTCTTATGGAGAATTCATATTATAAATTAGAGGATAATTTGAACTTATTTAAAAAGGTAAAATTGTTTTTTTTTTTCTTGTGCTTTCTTGTCGTTGTTCTCTTTTCTTCTCAAAAGGTCTCCTCGCACACGCAGTACGGACTTGATGAATCATTACGCCATTGCTTTTTACTTTCAGAAAAAAATTTAATACTTCTTTTTCCTTTCCTATCTACCCTTGAATGTACAAACGTTAGAAATAAACCTCCCCTGTTGTCCCTTGTTAGATTTGCCTTAGTTGTTACATTAGGAGGCAGATTACAAGACTGGTAGACTTGCTCTTGCATTTTTGACGCTGCCGTTCGTCGCCGGTTTGGGAATTTTACGTTTAATGTAAACCAGATGGTTTCATGGTGAAATAAAGTTATTGTATAGTATTGTATTGTATTTTTATTGTAGTTTTTTTGTATTACCATACCATCTATCGGAAGCCATAATAATAATTTTGTTTTTGTTTGTGCGAACTTAATTGGATAATAGATTCTCTAACGCCGCCATCACATAACGGTTATACGTATTTTAAAAAAGTTCTAGTATTGGTTATAGGTTGTTGAAATCGTATTATTCTACTCAAACCGATTTTTATTAGTCTAAATACGGGAAATTTGAAAACTTGATATAATTTTAAAATAGCTTATTTATTAAAAGTGGTAAATAGAGCCGATCAGCCTTTATAACTATTCAATAATAATAATAATTCTTTTATTTCAGATCTTGATCAATTATTTGTTAGTAATACATTATGAACCTTAAAACCTAATGTTAGTTTCTTAAATATGTAAAATTACTTTTTAATACACTGTTCCAGTGACTTAGCATATGCCCGTCACATCGTTCGGCGAACATGTTCAGAATACTGTTCGGCCGCCACGCATTCTACTCAACACTCGTTCACGCATTGTTGCAAATAAGTCATCTGTTCTTGCTTCTGCGAACATACCTGATGCGCTACAAAAGCGAGGCAACTCCAACAGGGCTCTGAAAATGTTATTATATAGAACACGAAAATGTTATTATATAAGTCACTGCAAGCGCACTTTGTATATGTATCCATAAGCTGCATGCGTAAAAAGATTGTCAGTAGGTTTTAAAAAGGGCAATCTTGACTCCGTTGCTACACCGTGCAAACCTAAATATTTAAACTTACTCTCTGTAGGGCAGTACCTTTAAGCACAATAGACGGACAGACGGGGCAAGCAGCACCATATCATCTGCATAACTTAAATTATCTAAGCATACTCCATCTACATAGCAATATAATATATATTATCAAGTGGCTGACTTAATTGGTGAGTTGAGTAGCATGTATATCGGAATATACATGCTACTCAACTCACCAATTAAGTCAGCCACTTTGATAATATATATTTAATGATAATTATGTGAAAATACCGTTATTTAAATTTAATATTTAAGTCAAATATGTACATATATACTTAATTTTATATTTATTAAAACAAACTTCATACTATACTAACTCTCAGAGACAAAGCACAAGTTAATGCATTGTTTCACATCTATGTTTCACATCGAGCGACGCCATCATTAGTGGTCAGTGATGTGTTGCCCCTCGCCCCCCTCTTCATGTATATAGCCTACAACTCCCGCGCTGCAGGCAGTTTTTATTACAAAGCAAGTGAGCGCGCACGTCAAACACGAGAAAAATGTTTTCACCGCAATTTCTTGCGGCTTTCGCCTTACTGGCAGCCGTAACCGCATTACCGGTTTCCGACAATCCACCTTTATTCCCGCAACCCATCACAACAATCGGTGATGATATGGAAGATTTTTCATCGTGGTTTAGAGGACCGTGGGACAGCTTGTTCAGTTCCGTATGGAAGCTAATTCCAAGTTTCGCCGATATTGGTCCAAAGATCCTAGCTGATAACGACAAGTTCGAGGTCGTTGTTAATGTCAAAAACTACAAGAAGGACGATCTAAAAGTGAAACTCAAAGACGACTTCATCTTCGTCCAAGGGTCACACGAAGCGACTCACGACGACAAGGATGTGTTCGCCAGCCAGTTCTTCCACACCTACTCCTTACCGGTCAACGCTAGTGCTGCTGACGTCACAGCGACGATCTACAGTGATGGCTTCCTAGTCGTTACTGCGCCGTTGAATGGAGCCGGTGACAAGGATTCTGTCGACAAGGAGGTGATAATCACTGACGCTGGAGTGCCGTATAACAAAGAAGAAACACCAAACGTGGAAAAGACCGGTGAACCGACTCCAACAGCGCTAGCGGCAGCTGATATCGAGGGAGAAAAGAAGGAACAGACAACCCCATCGGATCGCGTAGACGCAACCGAAAAAGATAACGTCATTCCCCACGGAAACGAAATCCAACCCTAAAGTGATATTTTAGATGTACATAAGCCTATATTTATAAAGCAGTATTGTAATAAATATTTTTTAAATTTTTCTTAGTGTTTTGTTTGCTCGTGACATCACGTGTTTAGGGTACGTGATATGTTTTTTAATTACATTCATGAATACAGACGTGCATTCTATTCCGGGTGATCGTTATAACAATGGGTTATATCAGGTTTTGGTTCAAATAAGTCGTAAAGCTTTGATTGTTCGGTAATGAAATGAACAATAGTCATTAAAACACGTTACACAAAAGGCACAAAATATGCTATACAGTATTTTCTTGCTTGTTGAGCCACCAAGTAAAGGTTTTATCAATAAAAATTAAACTTATTTTTTCATTACTATACCTTTCCGAGCCACGCTGTAGCTATATTATAGTTGTAGTACGAATGGGCCGGCTCAACCGGGGAAGGACCTCGCCATATTCTATGGACCTCGCTCTGACAGAATACCAGAGTACAATAACAGTCGAATTCTTTTGAATTTACTATACTGTTTGTGGCGTGTTGCAATTAATTTTTCTTTCTTTCTTTCCATTTCTTACGGTGCGTGTCTACACTCTAGTATTCTAGTGCCGGAGAACCTTTTTACTGGAAACTATGTATTCCATAACAGTCCACAAGGGTGACAAAGCACCAGCATTTTCAGACCTCATTTGTCACATTTATTCTATAAAATACATAACTTACTGTGTAACAGCGGAGCAAGAGAATCCAATACCCCGTAATATCATTCCGTGGTTGAGGCGACCAAAGGAAACTGAAATAGGAGACGGGCATCAACATCCTGCCAGTAACAAATAAAAATAATAAAAATTTGCGGTTTCCAGCCGGCCTGCCTAGCGTAGTAACGTTGATAAAATCCAGGCCTATGTTCAGCCGTAGGCTTTTACTATGCTGGAATGATGATAATGCAATTAAAATGTATGCTTATTTGAAATATTTTACATCACTAGTAATACGATTTTAAAATGTCGACTTAAGCAATAATTCACTATCAGAACATTTCCTTAATAATTGTAATTAATATATTTGTTATCATTGAAACGAAACATTATTTTCTTTTAAGATTATATATTTTCTTGAAAGTATACTTCATTAATTTCTCAAAAATGTGAAAGCAATTATTACATGTGTCCTAACATATTATCTCATTGATTAAATATTTATTAGTAATAACATAAGTTATAATACCAATGAGTACTAATATGAAGTAAGTTATATAGTTGGTTTAATAGTTGTAAGCGCGACTGATTGTCATGTGGTTCCGGGTTAATTTCCCAGGTCCAGAATTTTTTTATCAGGTTTTTATGTCAAGAAATTCTCCGTAGCAGCTCGGAGTAAGAAAGGGGGATGCCCAAGTGCACTCTAACTCTAAGCACCTGTGCTTGTTCAAACACTATGATTCTGTTCTATACAGATGGCTAGTTTCCGTTAAAATTGGCCGCGTGACTGAAATTCCATGTGGAGATCATTATTATACATGGTTGTTGTTTTTAAGCCTTATACATTATATGGTAGATTTATATAACATGCCGATAAGAAGTATAAAACAACTTTAATTTAACCTTGGTGTAACATAAAAGAATCGAATTGCGATTTCACTGTGTGGAGTTCAGAATATTCTATTTAAATGGGTAAAGTCTATTTCTAGAACACGGAAAACATCACTGCAGTTTACATTTTCCATATTAAAGTATGTGATGTTGGAAAGTTTAAGCAAATGATTTTTTTAATTTGTACAAAAAAATAATATACCACGTTTTTCATATCCCTAATATTTTTTCTTACTTATTATAAGCCAGTACTTGACCATAATCCCACCTGGTGGTAAGTGGTGATACAGCCGTAGATGGCAAATCGCGCTGTCTTAGCGTAACAAAAGCCTATTCACTCTTGCCTTGAAGACGCCTAGATTGTATTCGGACGGATAGATAGACAAAAGACGAAGCAAACCTTTTGGTTCTAATGCGTGGAATATCGACAACAAAGTGGTGAAGACCCGCCGACCGCCTGGTTGTCCGACGGTGGAAAGGTTCCGTATTTAATTTCCGGTTCTGGATTCAGTGCTAAGACATAGTGCAGCGTTTCCTAACCTTTTTCAGCCACTAGCCCCTAGGAAACCAAGCACAATTATTAAAAGTTTTTTTATTAAGGGAGTCCCTTAACAAAAAACAGCAATAAAATTTAGCACTACAAATACCCCAAAAATACTTACTTTAAAAAATACGTAAGTATTTTGTTTACAACTTTGTAGTCGATCGGATTCCACTTGTAATTTGTTTCTTTCTGTATTTTTACTTTTGGTTGCTTTTATTTACTATATTTAAATAGTATAGACAAAAGACTGCGGACCCCCCATACATATAGATATAGACCACAGGTTAAGAAACACTGATATAGTTTATAGAAAAATTAAAGCCCTGACATTAGTGTTTGAAATCATTACACGTAGTAGAGCCATGCTGCAGTTATATTAGTAGTATAGTTGTAGCACGAATGGGTCGGCTCGACCGGGGAAGGACCACGCTCTCACAGAATACCAGCGTAAAATGGCAGCTTAATGCTGCTATGCTTCGTATGGTGAGTGTAGAGAACCGGAGACCCTTTTTACTGGACAAGAGGCATTACATCTTAGTCCTCACGGGTGACAACGCATCTGCATTTTGATTCTTTATTGAGGGTAGATGTAGATGTCTATGAGCCACAGCAACCACTTACCATCAGGTGGACTGTGTGTTCGTTTGTCACTCTATCCTATAAAAAAAATATTTTTAATTCTTTTAAATTGCCTTTATTTTTATTAAAAGTTACTTTTACCCTTTGAGTTTTTTTTTACTAATATAAGCCAGTGCCAGACTACTATTTCACCTAAGGTTAAGTGGTGATAAAGCCGAAGATGGTAAAGGCTATTTACTTCTTGCTTTGAAGACAACCACATTATACTCGGATGGAAAGATAGAATGTCGTCTAAAAATTAAAAACTCTATTTTGCCAACCTTAGAGATGGAATTTTGACTCCAAATTTTTACAGTATCACATCTGATTTTTTTATAGGATAGGGTGACAAACGAGCACACAGTCCACCTGATGGTAAGTGGTTGCTGTGACCCATAGACATCCACATCTATCCTCAATAAAGAATAAAAATGCAGGTGCATTGTCACTAGTGAGGACTAAAATAGAATACCTCTTTTCCAGTAAAAATGGTCGCCGGTTCTTTACACTCACCACTCGAAACACAGCAGCGTTAAGTTGCTATTTTACGCTGGTATTCTGTGAGAGCGTAGTCCTACCCCGGTCGAGCCGACCCCTTCGTGCTACAACTATACTATTAATATAGCTGCAGCATGGCTCTACCACGTACGATATGATGTATAAACTATTTATTTAATAATAAATATAAAATGAATTATCAGATTTGGCTAACAATAGAGGAAGATATCGTGTATAGCATTGTAAAACGCCTTCTTTTTTGGAAGTTGGCTAAAATGACCAATCTTATAAACATAAAATCTCAATAATATAGGATTCAAAAGGTTAAAAGTCCCAAAATATTACTATATTCAATTGTGAACAAATTAAATCTATACGTCTATACGAATAAATAATATGGAAGTGTCTTTTTGTAATGTCAAAATAACAGCTTTTTTACTAAATGCATATGAAAGTATAAACGGATCTTATAACAAAAAACACATTTTTTTTAAATTTTTGTCTGTTTGCTTGTCTGTGTGTCTGTTTATTCCAGCTAATTTCCGAAATGGCTGTACCGATTCCGACGGTTTTTTTACTGGCAGGTAGCTGATGTTATAAGGAGTAACATAAGCTAATTTTATTTTAGATAAATAATTAGAACTCCGCACAAAAAAATGAAAACCTTAAAATACACGCGGGCGAAGTCGCAGGGAACATACAGCTTAACATAACATTAGTATAACAGCTAGTAATAAATAAAATAGTTGATATTGCGAAAATATTATCAACTGAATTGTGAAATCTGAATTGCTATGACCCTTTTCACATGACGCGCTTTCTAGTACATATGTACATACAACATGTAATTAGCAAAGCGACATGCGTTCTCTCTATTACATTTGTGAATGCGTCGTTTCATACATAATTTTACATAGCTGTCATCATTGCCCAATAATTATTAATCATCAATTTTGAGAGTTTTAACGCTCAGGTTGTTTTGAACCTTCGTGCTCATAGTCACTACACGTGGTAGAGCCATGCAGCAGCGATATTAGAATAGTTGTAGCACGAATGAGTCGGTTCGGTGAGTGTAGAGAACCGGAGACCCTTTTTACTGGAAAAGAGTAATTCCATCTTAGTCCTCACGGGTGACAACGCATCTGCATTTTGAATCTTTATTGAGGATAGATGTAGATGTCTATGGGTCGTAGCAGCCACTAACCATCAGGTGGACTGTGTGCTCGTTTGTCACCCTATCCTATAAAAAAATAGTATAAAGCACTCGAATGTACTTTCCTTCTGACTCTTTAAAAGATTTCATCCCTCTATATTTGGTTTCGCATGGGATTTCTGGATGTCGATAACAGCGCCAGTTACCGGATTCAATTGTGAATCCAAACCATCTAGAAACCTATTCATAAACACAACAAAAAATTTCATCAACATCGGTCGAGCAGTTTTTGAGTTTTAGTGAGACTAACGGACAGCAATTAATTTCTATATATAGAGATTAATTCAACTACTACAACACTATTATTGTAGCTTTTATCTGCATTTTTTATGGGGAATTGTTTACGTATATCTCTCTCGGGTCTCGCGTGGGCAAGGACGGGTTATGTTATCTTGTCTGGTGTTCGACATTCGCCGTATATCGATATAGCCACGGGAACGCTTTTGCACACATTCTCGGCCTCATCAGTGCTATTTGCCTTTCAGTGTTACCTCCTATTTGGAGCAAAACTCCTCCGCGCATACTTTCAACCATGGCCTCCGTTTTCATCT